TGAGTAAATGGCAGAGTGCAGGCTGGAAACTTATGTGAAAACTCCCATCAGTACCAAAAAGAAAGAAAAAACAAAAGCAATTTCAAAGCGGCAAATAAAGGTGCCACACAGCACCTTAACTCTGTCAAGCTGAGATTACTGTGCAGTGATTCGATGGCTAAAGATTTTGGTTTTGTGCAACAAACAAACAGGAGCGTTCTGCAAAATATATTGCTGTGTTGTAAATGYATTAATATCCCCTGGCCTTTCAAGAAGGTCACAGAGACGATTAAGTTACAAATGGTGTTTACAAGATCAGTCCAGAAATCTAGGTTTCTTTCTTAAATTCCCATCTTCATCGCAGACTAAGCRAGATCGCTTACTCTTCCTGAACCTTATTTTTCATTTGTAAACTGCTAGTAACAGTAACAGTCAAAGGTGCACTGCAGYAAAGAATGGTGCACGCTCATGGGCTGGAATATATAAACTGCACATTTGCTATTGCCTTTAAGCCAATATATTTTAAGCCAATTAAGCTAATATATTTTCTCCAATTTCAAACATTTATTACTTTGATTGCCAAACTAGGTCTCATTATAAATAGGAGTTTACTATGTAATTATGCTACTTACATTTCAGCCATATGGCTTAATATTTGCACTAAGTGAAAGAAGAAAAACATCCCCTTTGTAAGAGTCTTTATTGTCATATATTCCACCACATATTCGGCAGTATATGAGTGCTTGGCATCGGCCAAATTTTCACTGTAAGTTATTTTTGGGGAATCAATTTTGATGAAGTTGTGAAGTTCTTTCATATTTGATGCTTGTATAGATTCCTAAAAATATTTAAGAAGCATCCACACCCAAAAATCAAACCTGCTAGATCATTGCTGAAGTTAGCCTAGTGCAATGATCACTTCTGAAGTTCAAAATAGCCCCAGGGAAATCAGGGAAATGTTGCCTTAAATATTTGTGATATTGAGCTTATTCTAAATCCATGTTTATTAATTTTTAACAAGCAGGAAGAATTGGTCAATAAGATGGAAAAGATATTCAGCACCTAAATAGCAGTTTCACCTTCAAGCTGTGCATGTATTAAGTAGGTTTCTCCAAACTCATGCAAAAGACATGAATGGGAATTGAAGAACAAGTTTTAAATACATTAACATAAATCTGCCGCCTGCATGTGCTTTATGCCTTTGAAAATCACACCCGTCCTTATTGTTATTTTTCTAATAAAGAAAGAAAGACAGCCAAACTATTATTTTACTACATCTGTTTAATTGGTTTTCAATACGTTCTGTTTTCCTGCAAAAACAATTTGTAGCAGCAAATTGTACTTTCCTGGGTAATTCAGGGTCCTGTTTATGGCATGTGCTATCCTGAAAAAGAATGTTTCTGATGCTAGTGTGGAATGAAAGTGTCACTGTGATAGCTTTAATATAAAAATCAAATTATTTAAAGTCTTCTTAAAAATTTGCTATTTTCATAGTATTTCCAATAGATGTAATCAACTAGCAGAAAAAAAAAAAAAAAGAAAGAAAAGAAAAAAGATAATTGCTTTCATAGAGAAAGCCCAGCAGAGATTTTGATTCTGTCTTATCTGATCTCAAAGGATTAAATATGGGAGGTGAGCAGCTAACTGAGGATATAAAACAGCTAAAAGAAGAGGAACTGCTCTTTAAAATGTGCTTTTATCAATTGCTCAGGGAGAAAAAAAAAGAAGCTATGGATATCTAAGTCTGTCAGATAAGCTTCATTTGAAGGTTATTGAGATTATTATTTTTAAAAATTGCAGTAAAAGACTCAAAAAGTATCTTACAATTCAGTGCATTGAGGAACTGCCTGAGCAAGTTATGAATAAGCCAGCTTAGACATATGAAAGCATATACTCACATCAGYATGATAGGCATGATAGTTACTTTATAGGTACTTGTACTCTTACTGCACCATACTGCTTATAGAATCATAGAATTATAGAATCATTATGGTTGGAAAAGAACTTCAAGATCATCAAATACAACCGTAAAACCTTCAATGTCCTTTTCTGAGTACATAATATTCCACAAAYGTTCTTCTGCATTTAGCCTTTCCTCCAATATTGCACATAGCATGGGAAAATCTACCTAATAGGCTATCAAGCTGCAGAGGTTTGCATAGATCAAATAGAGTTGGCTAAAAGGATAACTTTTTTATTTCATCAAAGCTCTAGTGTTTGCAGGATGTAGCCTCATATCCTGTAACACTGAGACGTCCTTACCTAAATAAATGGAAGAGCAAACAAAACAACAAGAAAAATTCTTTTTCTGACTTTCATGCTTCCCCGACATTTATCAAGACGTAGTTCTAGGTAAGACAACTGAAAATGCATTCATTTTGCCTCATTTCAGTTGTATCAACAGATGCAAATGCTTCCTGTGGTTTATTTTTACATATATCTGCTTTACAGCAGGACTGAGCACAGTATTGGATGTTGTTCACTGCATAGAAAAATTGAAATGACAACATGTGAGTTTCTTAATAAATCCATAGCTTGCAATTGGACACACAGAGATTCAGAAAGTAGTTGCAATCTGAGAAGAAATGTAAAGAAGAGGTAAAGATGAGTGTGCTTAAGTCTATGGCTCAAGTCATGTTGACTTCTAAATACATGTGACAGTGAAGATCTCCATCCACTTTATAACTGGGCCTACTGCCAGCCTGTAAAACTTTACAGAGCTCACAGTGTTATCAAAGTTGTAAGCTTAAACATGGCTGTTTTATAATCTTAAACTTGGCTCTTAATTTGGAATGTTCAGGAAAGAGTATTGAAGAGTATTGAAGTTAGCTTTTGTATCATGTTCACTTACTAATGGRTAATCAACATCTGCAGTGCATACAGCCACAGATTCATTCAGTCAATAAAAAGTATGCTCAAAAATTCACTTGAATGTGGTCTATAATCTCATTTTAATTAGCATTGCAATGRTTACTCCAATCAAAGTAAGTCATTGACAAAGATTGCCATCTGCATTCATCGTTAACCTCAACTAGCACAACATTAGACTGTGGCTTTACATTAATACATGKGCTCTGGGGAGCTAATGTCAATTCAAGGACAACGAACATGCTCCTCTCCCCTTCTTTTCACCATTTAGTTTTGGAAACTCACCCTCTAGCGTAGCATTTTACAAATGCTGAGCATTTGCAGTGCCCTGCTTAAGCAATGTGACTGTCTTGCATATCCTCTGTCATTACTTTTGATACTTTTCAGCAGTTTAATTGAGCATGGCTTCGAGACTGTATAACACCTGCCCAGTATTGATCATTGCTCCCAGCTCTGTGGTTAGGATTTTGAGATGATGGTGGGCTTCCATGGCAAGACTTAACARTTATTCACTGAACTTCTAAGAGATGGCTTTGTTTAATACGGTTATTGGATCTATAAAACACAGAGCATTYGTACAAGACAATACAAGACAATACAAAGAGGATGATGTATTTTATGCCTCTTAGTACATGCACTGCAATTTCTGCAGAGATCAGATGTTGTTAATTAAGGGAAGAGAATGATGAGATACTTAGCTATCAACACACTGGATTTGTATGGTTTATCATATGCCATTATCAAAATCAGTATTTGACAAGGCAGCAGATGACCTGCTGCCATTTAGAATCTTTAAGAATGTAACTTTTTACTAAGATTAGCTAAGTTTTAAAGGATTTCCATTGCTAAGCCAATAAAAAGTTTGAAATGTTACTGGCACTCCAAGAGCATTTACCAAGAAAAGCAGAAGCTCATGGATTAGGTAAAGTTCAGAGGATTATTTACTGTCTTCATCCTCAGAGAAAGGAATTATCTGGGCTTTTCTGAAGATGTTAGTGCATGACTATAAGCTCTTTAAAAGAGGACATACTCCAAATAGTATTTTTTGTCTTTGCAAACCAGATGTTTAAAGCAGACTGAATGTTTAGACAAGCTTTTAAATTATATTGGTTGCATAGTTACTGCTCTGATAACTACTTTTTTAAGCTCTCCTTATGAGAGGTAGCCTTGGTTGTTTTAAATTTGCGCATTAAGCAGCTATAAACATTCTCTACAATCACGCTACCATGTACAACAATTAATTATATCAAATCCTTCTCACAGAAGTGTTAGCTAGTGAAGATTGCCAAGATAATATTTCTGACAATAAAAGAGTAGCAATCATTGCACATCTCTTGGGACTTTACTGGTATATTGTTTCTGTGCTTAGGATTATAATCATGCCATTTTCCCAATATGAATTTCTTGATAGGAAAATAAACATCTGTTCTTGTCAGAGATGATCTTTACATTATATTTTGTATGGGAAAAATGTTCCTGTGTATATTTTCCTGTAAGAAAGACAGATCTAGATTTTTTAGATGGAGAACTCCAATTAAGGACCAGCGCTCACACAGTCCTACTGGAATTAATGAGACCTCAGGGTGCCAAGCACAATCCTGTCCTTGCATACAGGCAGTTTTGCAGGACCTGGCTCTCAGAAATAGGGGATGTATCTTCACTGCAGGCAGGAGATGTAGGAGGAGGGCATGGGTGAGCCTGGATGAGGCTGAGTTTTAGTGTCTCGGTAGTTTGATGGCACAGAGCTCAGTATAGATGAAGATCTTTTGCAGGATCCAGACAGGATGTCTAGACTGTTAGATCACATATTGAACTTCATCTAGCCACAGCACATAAGTGTAAGAAAAGAATAATTCTCAATCAAAAGTAGCACGGTCACAGGAGAGGTTTTGGAATACCAGCTGTATTTACTAGATACTCTGAAATTGAGATTTCTCTGCAATTTTTATTTAACAGAATAGTTAATAAGGTACTTCACTTCTCTGCTCCTCTTACATACAAGCAAATATGATGAAAAATGTAACTTATAAAGATGAACTACAAAGAAAGCTTTTCAGAGAGCAAGACCTGTTCCATTTGAAAGRTGAAATAAGAATAAATGCTTCCAAGGCTGATATAATTGCCTATTTTCATGTCTTTATTTCCTTTCACAGAGCCATGTTTGACTATGACAAGAGCAAAGACAGTGGCCTGCCAAGTCAAGGACTCAGTTTCAAGTATGGAGACATCCTTCATGTTATCAACGCTTCGGACGATGAGTGGTGGCAGGCGAGGAGAGTCACTCTGGAAGGAGACAGTGAGGAGATGGGAGTTATACCCAGCAAGAGAAGGTGAGTGCAGCCTCTTCTATTTTACCTCCTTGGTTATGATATTTCAACGTTCCCACTTTATTGCAAGGACAGGAACACCAGCCTAGTGAAAAAATAAAACATTGCTCAAAGATTTGGGAGGTGTAGTATTCACCAGGAGGTTTAAAGAGCTCCAGCTATTTTACTGTACTGAAAAGACATCGGAAAGGTGACGTGATTCATATCAGAGACAGGGAGGGGGAGAGCGGGAGAGAGAGCACCAACTACTAAGGGGCTTTAGCAGAGAAAGGAATACCTGGAACCCAAGCCTGGGAATTATCTCCAGGTTAAAACAGAGTGCATGTTTTAATGTCAGGGTGATTGGCCATTGCATCAAACTGCTGAGGGCTTGATGAATGCCGTGACATTTTCAAATCAAGACTGCATGTCTTTCTTTTGAGGAAGTAATAGAATTAATCTTTGGAGGGTCTCTTGTGTAGAAAACCAGGCTAAATTATATAATGATACTTTTTGGCTTCAAAATCTGTTAATTTAATCTCTGCCTGCCTAGAAACGGGGAGATGATCAATATTGGTTTTTTTTTCATATAAGTAAATGAAGGAACATTCCTCTATTTTCAAAGCTAAATCTGAATCCATATTCAGTGGTGATGGATTCATGCCAGCTCATGAAGAGAAAATAAACGTCTGACTCTTTCTCATTGTCTGTATTGTTTACTCTGCCTAGTCACACTGTAGAATCAGGCTSTAGCCTCCGGTAGTATCAGAGCTACCACGCAAGTCAGTATTAGCTTGTGCCCTTGTTGGTAGTTGCTATAGAAGGGTCAAGAATGGAAAGGGTARGAGGAAAATGAAATCTGTCAAACTACATTACATTTCCCTTTTACAGCAATGCTCCCATACTGAATATGAATGTTCTATTGCAATTTCAACTTTAGCATTAATATAAAAATAATCATGCCCCCCCCCCTTTTTTTTTTCACAAAGGGTAAACTGTATGTGTGATGTTTTATAGAGCATCCACTGGTGTTTCAAGGAGAGCTGACATAGGTGCGAATAGAGCTCATAAAACCTCTTGTCCTAAATCACATAAAATTAACTAAAGGCCTGCAAATGTTATTGGCAGGAGACTTGCAAGAACCTTATTTTCTGTAATCAGGACCATGTCTGAATAGCAATCACACCAGGATCTTTCAGCAAAAAGCCATTTTGTAGCTATATAATAGATAGAAATGAAACTACAATATAATTTTTAAGATGGAGAAAATGTGCCCATTAAAATACAGTTTCTAGATACTGAAAAATGRATTCTTTCCTAGCATTCATTGCTATGGCAAGCACTGCTATCATGAGATGATTGGATCACAAATGGGAAAAGAAGACAGATTGTTTAATTATTACAGAGGGATGTACATGCACAAAGCTTGCTCTTTCTCAAGGTGTAGTGCACACACTTAAAAGCCATAAAAATCTTTCAGACATAACAATATGTCTGTAAGGAAAARAAAGGCAAAGCCAGACAACCACCTAAGAGGTGGTACTATATCTTCGTCTAAAGTTTAATGACATACCTGCATGGTAGCATTTTCAAGAAGGACAGACATAGAGGCTCCCATTTCAAGGTCAGACATATGATATAGGCAGGGAAAAAGACATGAGTTGAGAAACACTGGGAGAAAAGGAAGAAAAAAAAAGAGAAGCAAGATGAAAATAGGTTGGCTGGAGTCTAAAAATAAAAAGGCTTGAATCTGTAAAGATGCAATAATAGTTACCATGCTCTCCACCTGTCATCCCACTTCTTCACTAGAAAATCTGAAAAGATCAGCATTGCTGTTTTGTCCGCATTAATGTAGTGATGATACCTGAGTTTGGGGAAGAAGTTTTGCTATTAGTTCAGAAAATGATTCCAATTATGCAATCTTATTTTGTCTAAGCAGTGAAAAGTGAGGATTACTCCAATATTGTGGATTGTAGTTGGTCCTCAGTGAGCCAAAGAAACTGATACACTCTTATCTGCATCTTCTGTGGTCGTTTACACCCCTGCAAGATGCAAACCAAGAACACTAAGATGAAGATGAGAAATGGCTGCATATGGGGCTGAGCAACAGAGAATTAAACTCACCACACTTTCCAGAGTTGAATATTTCAGAGCTGAATTTGCTCTGCAGATGTGTGTTATTGACCATCCAAGACTTGATGCCAAATAAAGTCAATTTGGGATTCATTTGACCAAATGCAGTCATTTGCAAAATGGAAACCTTTGTCTAAACTGATTGCTTGAAGCTACTCCGCACTTTTTTATCTGTTAGGTTTTTTATAGAACAACTTCTGTACACATTGCAGTATATGTAATGAGGCATATTTAAAATCTAGTATTAAGATATTCCTTGTAATAGAGCAGGAGGAAAAAAGGCATTTACAGCTTTCTGTTGGGCTGTGGCCTGTTCTACGAGCCCAGGTTCCTATGAGTTTGTAGGCTGAAGATTTTTTATATTTGTCTTATTCTTTTCAATCCCCCATTTAATTCTATTCATTTTCTTTAGGGATGTACATGTTTAATTTATACTTGGGCACCTTCCTTTTCTTAGRTATATGTACATGTGTGCATATGTATGTGCATATGTGCACATACAGTGGAACATCAATATTTTTTGCAATTTGGACAGTTGGCAGGGCATACAGATCCATGCATTAATGCAAGGGAGAATCTTTTGGCTCCCTGGCTTGCTYCCTAATCTCCAGTACAGCCACATTTAATATATAATCCCTATATTTTTCATAAGTGAAATCAATACAGAATAGCTCTGAAAGCCTGTGACCTCTTCCATTTATTCCAATATATGTACACACACACGCATACATGCATTTATGTATGTGTAAATATATATAATACACACACATGTATTTGTGTATTATATATTTTTTTCATAAATGAATATATATGAATACATGTATATACACAAAACAGTTTCTTTACAGCATTGTGTATGGCAACCCTTTTCCAAGTGTCTAGTTTTGCATTCTTTTTATATCTTTCTAGAGCAGAACCCTTCAAATAGTGTCATTTCAGGCTGAGTAGATATGATAAAATACTTATAATAAATCAAGATTCAATGCTCTTTGCATTGACATATGCGATATACCAGAAGAAATCATAATTTATAATTACAGGGGAGCTGTCACTTTTTATTGTCTCCAAGGTGTTGGATATGCTACCAGCGTATATTTGATTCAATAGAGTTTGAAAGGTATTGGTAACTAGATTTCAGTGTTGCCTCCCTACACTGAKAATTGTAAAGTCAAGTTTTAAGACTGAATTTGGCATGGAGACATTACGGTGAAATGTGGGTTGCTGAAGAAAGCATCATAAAGCAGTGAGAGTGGCTCCATATTTCCCAGCAATCTGTCTAGAACTACATAAAAGCTCAGTATCTTGCAGCCTTAAATTATCACAGCAGTTAAAGTATCATTTTTGCAATTAAAGACAAAATTTTATGTGTTTGTTGGTATTTGTTATCTGTGATTCTGGACCGTGGCACGGAGCAGCCAGCTGGGTGGAAGCCAGATATAAAGACATTATGATWTAATGTCATACTGATGTTGGCAACAGTAGGACTTTAGCATGAAAAGCTGCAAACTACTTCTGATTTAACAGCAAATAAATGTTATTCTCTAATACTAACAAATGCAGCACACATTTCTCTTGTTTCTGCACCAACCCACGTTATATCTAAGGTGAGAGCAGTGCATGGCTGTGATGTTGGGCAGAATGTCCCTGGTGCTGCAGCAGGTCGGCCTGCCCTCTACTGATGTCTCACACAGTCCATGGGGCTTATTCACACACTAGACACCACTGCTCACGCATAGAAATTGCTCCCCTCCTACCAAAAAAAGTTTTATTTTATAATAGTAACCAACTGAATAAGATTTACATTAGATTTTCAGATTTAGATTTATAGATTTAGATTTGCATTTTTTCATACACCATTTTTTTGATCACGAGAGCTTTTCCTTGCCTTATTATGTTTCCTCTTGTCTGGGTAAACAAAATGGACTCAACTTTCTGCAAAGGGCAGCAGCAGTAGCTGGAGAAATACACACAAGAATACACAGAAATACACACAAGAGTAAAGGTAGTTCAACCAAAGCTGTGAAACCAGTTTGCAGGAGATTCAGTGCATTAATATCCTAGAGAGATGATTTAATTCAGGAGCAAAGTGGTTTTAATTTGCTGTTGCATTTATTTTACCCCCTCCATTTTTTTTTTTTTTTGCTTTCACTTTACTTTTTGCTTTCACTTTACTGAGTCTCTGCATGTAGAAAAGCTCTTAGATTGCAAGCCCCATGCAATAGCAACCTTCCCCTTCAGTATTGCTTGTGGTGTGCGTGTATCTCAAGCTCAGCTTGGTCTGTGGGTCTGAATCTCATTTAGCAAAGGCTTGATTTCCTATATATTGCCCCAAAAGAGCCTTATCCTATATTCTCGACATTACACTTTTGCCTCCACTGTGGACACCAACAGTTTTGTCCCAAAACACTAAAATGCTTGTGCTAGTCTTAAATCTTTTAACATGTGCAGCCACAAAATGACTCACAGATTAGACATTATTCTAAGATTTCCATTTTTCGTGAAGTTTAAGTACATCTGACTGAAAAAGGTTACTCAACTTGTATCTCTGTTATTACAAGAGATGTTGCCTGTTGTTTTTGTCTTCAAATGCACAACTGTCTCCACAAAAAAAACATACATGACATTCCCCTTGCAGAGCGAAATGGAAGAAAAGAACATTAAAAATCAGGGAAAAAAATGTATTTCACAAACATTTTTCAGAACAAGGAGGAAGAGGTTTTCCCATTACAGAAATCCCTGTGAGCAAACAGCCAGCTTAAATTTGTTATTCTGCTCAGTTTAGCAGAAGGACATGTTTATCCACTCAGCTGACATACTTTTGATGATTCTCCTATAAATTGGCTACCTTTCTAAAAATGTCTTGAGACTCTAATCCTCAAGTGATGAAATTT